CAGACTCAATGCGTGCATGCGTGCGTGCGTGTGTAGGGGGGGGGTAACAATGGCACAAATTTCGGCCAGCAGGGTAATCAGACGTAATTGGTATTACTTTGGAATGCAATCAGGTAACCCTACTTGTCAGGCATGCGATTTTAGGTGGGTACACAGTCAGGCTGCGGGCAAGGACCAAGGTGGTTTTGAACAATCCGTAGCGCATCGGATTGCCTTGTATTTGACGCTTTTCCTGAAAGCAGAGCGCACATATCTTTAGTATTTGAATCTTTTCCTGTTCTGTGGTTCCTTAACTCTACCCACAATTTCATATGATATGAACATCTAAGTTCCGTAATCGACGCTTCTAATGTTTGCATGTGTTGTCCGTGAATTTGGGTTTACACGATTTCTTTATAATTTGCAAGCGTGTGCTTGTCAATCCTTGCTTTACAGACGTTTTACACAACACTGATAGTCAGGGAATAATCTTTAGTGTACGTATCATTGACTATGACAGCTTTTCAAAACGTTACTTGACTGTAAATCTTTGTAAAACGGAGAATGGTGAAAGGACGGCGTCAATCAACCCCCGCAGAAATGGCCTCGTCCGTTGCCATGGCAACGGGCGTGGTTACGCAATGCAACTTGCGCTGAAAAATCGGACATTAAATCCTGGACAAACATTGTTCAAAAATTGGGACCTTAGCACTAATCGCTGATTTTTGGTGAATATTTTTCATTTCTAATTAATAACCATTGATTATTAATAATTGTGTCTTAAATGAAAGAATATACATCCCCTAACAATCTCTGGGAAAGGTTTTGTCTCACGTCACTCCGTTACCAAGCAACGGGTCAATAAATTTGCGTCAAAATTTTGATATGAGCAGCGCCACCTGGCAGTCTGAAATAAAAGTACAACAGATATCTTAATTACCCTTATGACGTGTCGGAAACAGTAATTTATTGTTTTTTTCGTTCCGTTGGGTAGATTAATGTGTTCTGTATGACATTGTTTGCCTGTAAACCTGAATAGACAGCAAGTGATAGATCTGAACGATGCTGATCATTTGGTGTATGCTGGCAAATGAGACGTAGCATCAGTAAGGACATTGATGTGCATGTCGCATCAGGACACGCCCATAAAAGCGAAAACATCGACATTGCACAAACAACAGTAAAGCCAAACATATACACGTGCTAAAATTTGAACCCGAGGTAAGAAGAAATAAGTGACATGCTGCTGATAGTGCATCTAGCGCACTCTAAAAGTCAGCCTAGGCGGGAATGGGGAGTGGTTTACAGAGGTGACGCAAGATCCTGCTTACAAAAATGCGAGGCAACTTCGGTCAATAGTACCCTTTTCTACTTGTTGAGAAGAATAAAGGCAAAAGAGGCCAAATTGACCATAAACTATCACTCAGAAATGAAGGGGAAGTCCAGACAGCGTTCTTACCACAGAGCAAAACAGAAACTTTTCCAATGAAAGTTACAGTAATGCTTTGGCATAATATATCCCTTCTCACGTAAGTAGAAATCCACTAAATCTAGTCGTATTTTGCAGTCTGGAAGTCTGGGGGATACAAATTCACGTCAGCTGTAGCGTGTCAGGTG